TTGCTCTTTTTGCTTTCAGGCAGGAACCAAAGTTGGCAGGGAGGCGAGGCAGGAGCACGTCGCTGAAGGAGCGCCAACCCAGCAGGCCCCAGAATGAGAGGGCCAACAGCCTGGACAATGAGCGGTCTCTGGATACCAGATGCCACCTACAGGTAGGAGGGTAGAAGTGCAGGGGAAACCAAAAACTGAGTTTTCTTGTATTCACAGATGTGGGAAAGATTTTCTGAATATTAAAGATTTATTTTTGGCATTTAGCCTTTATTTGACAGTTCAGCAGGGAAAAATAGACAAGAAAGGAGGGAAAATGTGTCGAGGGAAGATACATAACAAAGGTTTGCAGGGTGAACTCAAAACCAGGCCGCCTAATTTCAGCCAGAAAGCATAAGCCAGTGCACTGGAATGTTAAAACAGTTAAAATGAAGATTGTTCTCAATTCAGGCAAGAGAGTCACTGTTTTGGCATCATATATGTATAGGACAGAGGTGCTTATTGTAATGAGTGTCCGTGTGTTAATGTATTCATAGACGTGTCTAATAGATTGTGCCAGAAAAGAAAAGTATGAGATCTTACATTAACATGAACCTAACATTAAGGTTTACCTATTTTACTTCCCTAGATTCCCAGAAAGACAGTGTATGACCAACTTAACCACATCCTGGTATCTGATAACCACCTCCCTGATAGTATCATCCTCATCAACACGTCTGACTGGCAGGGCCAGGTAAGCAGCAGGCCTTTTCAAAGATAAAGGTCTTACTTACTTTATTTAATTAATTTAATTTTCTTTGACCAGTAGTTTTTAAGTGTTTAAAGATTTACAGAGCATTACTTATTGGCTTATAATGGAGTCCCTCCTCTCTCTTAGTATCTTTCAGACATGCTGCAAAACCACCATCTGCCAGTGGTCTGCACCTGCACCACGGCCGACATCCAAGCTGCGTTCAACACCATCGTCTCCCGCATACAGAGATTGTAAGTCTGCCTCCCGTGTTTTATGAAAGCACGCACACTGTGGATTAATGTTGCAGTAATCCAGAGCTGCGCTGCTCGTTTTTTTCTCCCTAGCTGCAACTGTAACTCCCAGACGCCTGTTCCTATAAAGATAGCGGTGGCCGGAGCACAGCACTACCTCAGTGCAGTTCTGAGGCTTTTTGTGGACCACCTGTCCCACAAAACTCCTGACTGGCTCGGCTACATGAGGTTCCTCATCATCCCTCTAGGTTTGTGACGGTGTCGCTCTCGTCTCTTCTGTTGTTAGGTGCACCAGTGAGGTCATGTTTTTGTTTAGTGGGATTAGGCAAAAACTACTTTGATGATTTTCTTTAAAGTTGGTAGAGAGGTAGAGCAGGGACAAACGGAGGCCCATTAAACTTCAGGTGGCGCTTACAGCAGAAGCAAATGGTTAGCATGGGTGGAGGACTGGGGGCTAGAGGTGGAGCTAGACTGTTATGCAAGATTATCCATGTAACCTTTGAGCATACTCTATCACATACGCTATATGGACAGAAGCGTTGGGCCACCTACACATTTATACCGACAGGAACTGCGAGGCTATGCTGTGAAGCTCCCGGCACACAGTTTTTGTGCTGATGTTAATGCCAGAGGTGATTTAGAGCTCTGCAGTTAGAGATTCAGCAGAGCTTGGGCGACGTTTACACACTGTACACCTCAGCACTCTGCAGTTGAGCTGAGCTGCTGTGGTTCCTAAATGCTTCCACTTTGCTTCAAGAGGAGGTGCAGCTTCCCTCGAAGGGCTATACTAAAACGTTGATGTTTTATGTTTTTATAACAACATGCTGACCTATGCGCTAGAAGCATTACATACTAAAATGATGTAATTTATTATCTTCATATCCATATGATTGGAGCAGAATCAGCTGAAATCTTTGCCTTCTATAAGCTGTAAACACTTTTTAAAGATATATTCATTTGTGACTGCAAACTGAAACTACTGCTACTTACTTGGAAAAAAAATACTTTATATGATTTCTCACATAAGTTATTTTATTGGGTTTTGCTTTCCAGAAGCATTTTCTGTCAGTCAGTCAGAATCAGCTGTGAAGCTGCTAAACAGGAAGTCATACAAGGCTCCTTTCTCATTCTCTCTCCTTTCCTCACATCTTAGTCCCTTCAACCAGGGAAGAAAGAAGGAGAGAGGAGCTGAGGCGACACGCATTTATCAAAATCCTTAGACACCCTTGCTTCAAAGCCTGCTGTATCCCTGATATAACTGTGTTCGTGACTTTTTTTATTTTTAAGGCTACTTCTAATAAAAATCAAATAGTTGACCAATTTATAAATAACTCAAACACTTTATGAATAGACATAAATTATTCTGCTCCTTCCCTGGTTTATATATCCCAGCTGTGTGCAACTCTGTTAAATGCTGCAAAAATACTTCTGCAGAGGATATAAGTGTGCATCCTCAATTTTATCTCCTCAAGCAAGCCTCCTCTGTCCTCCGACCTCTGACCTCCAGATAGATGTTGGGATCCAGTAACGTCCTTTAGCATGGCATACAGAGGCACAGGCAGGAGGACTGAGGACAGAGGAGACAAGGAGGCACAAATGAGAGAAATGAGAAAGCGACGTTTGCTCAGGGCCTCACTGTAAGGAAGCAAAAGCAAAAGCTAAAAACTTTCGTGAGCCATCTGGATATTTCAAATTTTCTGTTTGTTTTTTTTTTCATATTCGCACATTTGTGAAAAGCAGACCAGCAGCTTTTTCAGAGGTCTTGTGCTCTACTAATTTTTCAATATTTAAAAGTGCTGTATTTGTGTAAATTGCAGTGCTGCTTGTTAATATTAGTTTTAACCTCGTTGTAGTGGAAACACGATGGTGATATTGATGTCAAACCGCAGCAGCTCTGCACTGTTTTTTTAAAATCACGACTCTCTCTCTTTTCCATTGGCTTTAGGGGCACATCCAGTCTCCAAGTATCTCGGCACTATTGACTATCGATACAACAGTTTGTTCCAAGATGCTGCCTGGAGGGACCTGTTTCACAAATCAGAGGCTCCAGTCGTTGGTGGGCTGTCACGCTTTTCTTTGAACAACATAACACTCATTTGTTCAAAGTTTAAAGAGCTTTTAAAGAGCCACTGAAATCCAGTTATTTTAACCAGAAACATAATTATGATGTTACACACTCACTAGCCACTTTATTAGGTACACCTATTTGCTTGTTAACACAAATATCTAATAAGGCATTAACCTGCTGAAGCTCAAATTGAAACTCAAAATGAGGGAGAAAGGGGATTTAAGGGACTTTGAATGTGTCATGGTCGATGATGCCATCTACTTCCCATGCAACCATCTCTAGGGTTTTACAGAGAATGGTCTGGGAAAAGAAAAAACAACCCTATCCAGTGAGTGGCAGATTTTCTTTGAGCTGCCAGGACAGTAACACTGAAGAGCATCTCTAAATGCACAACACCCCAGACACTGAAGCAGATGGGCTACAGCAGCAGAAGAGCACACCAGATGCTTCTCCTGTCAACTCAGAACATTAAACCGAGGCTACAGTTTGCACCAAAGTTGGACAACAGACGAATGCTGCATGTCTGGTTGTCACAATTTAAGCTCATACGTTCACTCAGATCATCTCAAAGGAGTTTATTGAACATGATAGAAAGTTTGCTATATTCAAATGGCTTCCACAGTCACTGGATCATAGTCCAGTAAAGCACCTGTGAGATGTGGGTGAACTGGACTTTCTCATCAGGGATGTGTAGCCCACATATCAAAATCTCTGAGGAATATTTCCAGCACCTTGTCGAATCTATAACAAGTATTATGGTAATTCTGAAGGCAACAGTTGACCCATACCGGTAGCAGTAAAGTATACCTAATAAAATGGCTGGTGAGTGAATACTGTATGTTGCTGACTCTGTAATCAGGTACTAATCACCGTCTCCCTTACAGTCCAGGAGAACCCAGATGTAGTTTCCAGGGTAACGCAGTATATGGTGGGAGCTAACGGAGCTCATCAGCTCCCTATCGCAGAGGCCATGCTCACCTACAAGCAGAAGAGGTACGTGCTTTTTTTCTCAGGATTTCACCCTCATTTAATAACAAAAATAAAGTTACAATCTAGTTGTTATCAGAGATGCATGGAAGCCTTTGTTTTAGGCGTTACAGTAAAAAAATCTGAGTCTATGTTTGCTCTAACAAATGCTTCTAATGCAGAGCTTTCAGTATTTTTAAACGGGGTTTCAAATGTTTATTTAAAGAGAAATCCACAGTGATAAGTTACTAGAATCTCCCTGAACATTACAAATTGAATTAAAAATACCTGCACTGCATATATTATTATGTATATGCTGTAAGTATGCTTCTGTGGTGCAAGTTACTCACACGCACAAGAAGGTTTTAAAGCAAACATTAACTACGGAGAGTAGATTATTAGACATTTGCTAGTAGTAAACAGCCAGCTTAGCTCAGGCGAAGATTAAAGGCCACAGACATGAGGTGCACCTTCTGGTTTCCATTCAGCCCCTTTTTGAAAGAAATACTGAGTGAATAGTTTCACTAATGTTGCAGGGTTTGTCTATTTGTGTGGGGGTGGGTAGTGTGTCTTCTAAGCATCACTGTGTTTCCATCACCGTGTGAGTGAATAACATGATTTATCTTTGTGTTGTATGTTTTCTTTCTTTGAAGGAAAAAGAGCTTTCATTTTGATTTTGCAGTAAGGTATTGTGAACGATAGTCTGTTTCTCATGTAGCCTGGTGATTCATGCGCTTTCTCTGTGGTTCACGCATTTCTCCTTGAACCTTCTCATTGTTTTTTGGATCTTGTCGCTTTAACAGCTGGCTAAATTATCAAAAGTTTCAATGTAAGCTTTTCAGACTAAAGCTGCAACGACACAGAAGCAATATGAGATGTTTGAAGCTGCACCAGATAAAGTTTTGATTTTGACGTTTTTATGAAATCAGCCAGTGGGATGCAAAGGAGCTTTATACACTGATTACATTTCTCAGCATATAAAATATATATGTAACAGGAGCACGGTGACCACTGTGTGTGTTTTCTATAAGTTTCAAAGTTAAATGTCCTCCTTTGTTGCAATTCTCCCTTCTGGCAGCATAGGTTGTTCAAAAACATGTGTATCTCATTCAGCATTGGAGCTTCCACACATGTGCATATTTCCCTAAGTCTGGTGCACTAATGTGATAGCATCTCTACTAATATGCATGCTCTCGTTTGAGCTGTGAACTCGTACAAAGTCAGATGGGTCCCCCTCTTGTTTGGCCCAGAAGACGTGAATTTAAAAAAGGAATTCAAGTTTTGATTGGTCAGGCCAAAAGACTTTTTGGTACATATATCAAATGAGCACTGCCTCATGTATTTTATTAACATGTAGAGGTTTAACGGTTCTTCAGAACTGCTTTTCACACCATGTGGTTATTTCCACTGCTGTGCATGTTTGTTTTTAATGCAGTGCCATCTGAAGATTAGGTTTTTAGCCTTGCATCTTGATATTTCCCCTGATTCTTGGAATCGGGTGTTTTAAAAACCCCTAATTCTTTAATTAATTGACCAACTTTAGTGGTAGATGTTGGAATAGCTGTTTACTTTCTCCATTCTTTAGTTGCCCACTGTTTTTGCAAACAAGGCTGTTGTGGTAGAGAGAGTAATAGCTTCATAGTGCAGTGTATAACACAACAGTCAAAAGTAATTTTGTTGTAATAGAGAGGGGAAGATTTATATATTATTTCTATCTGCTCATAAAGAAACAACTATTGGGTGATAAGTAAACTGAGCTGAGCCCATCTCTGTGCTAAATGTGCTAAAAGCTAACGAAAACTGATTTAAATGGATGTTACAGCAGTAATAACCCTGCACATAATCCTCTGTCAAACCAGGAATTGGCATGGTTTGGTATGGATTAAATAACCATGATTTAATATTTTAATTAGTGAACTTTTAATGTGCAGGAAGCAGATTCAGTTCCTTTTGATTGGACCAATGTTTTAATAATTACATTTTATCAGCATCCGCTGAAGAGCTTTTAGTGCTGCATGTATGCAGGCGTTTGCTGAAACAGAACAATTCATTCTCAGCGCTGAGCCGCCGTAATTTTCAAGGAACGATCGTGCTGTTAAAGTGGCAGGTGAACATTTACAATCAGCCTCTTTTGTTTCTCCCTCCCTGCTGTTTCATGCTTCCCGGCCATTCATGTCTGTCTGTTATTTATCTACTAAGATGTATGAGATGTGGATACTGTCATGTTATGTTGATGCACTCTTCTTTTATTTAATTATGAACTGCAACCACCAACAACATTGTTTGGTTGAATCCAGTTTAATATCGGGCAAACATTTTTATACATGTACACACAAATTACACATACGAGTCTGTAAGGCTTTAATAGCTAAACAGGCATTTTATTGTATGAATATTATTTATTTCTAAATTATTTTAATAGGCTGTGTCTTGGAGAGGTTTTATTTTATTTAATGGAATAGCTCAATAAGCACAACTATATATCCATTTATAGTGGAGAGCATCACTCTTTCTATGCGCTTGCCTGTAGGTAAATATCCATGCATAAATCTGAGGTAAATCTTTAGACGATCCTGCTGGATGTTCAATAAATAATTTTAATAACTTACTGGAAATTGTGCAAATTTGTTTCAGTGAGAATTATTATGAAAATATTTGAAGATTATTGAGATCATTGAGAAGTGCCACTCTTGGACGTGGAAAAAGCTTATTTTAATTAGAGGAGTATAAATGCTTCTATAAAGTGCATGTTCATAATTCAGCTGTCTTCAACTGTTTACATGGGTTGATGTGCATGTGCATCTTTCAGATATCAAACATTAAATTTAATGAATGGATGAAGTGGCTCAAACAATACTCACGTACTCTGTCGTGGTCCATACCAGGCAGACATCAGGCTCTCTCTCTCTCCGGCTGCTCTGAAGTGATTACAGCAGAGATGTGTTGGTGTTGGAAAAACAAACTGTTACCTACTGTAGGCTGTCTGTCTCTCTCTCCCCCTCCTCTTTAGTCTCTCTGTTTCTTCCCTGGGGGGGCGATGGCAGGTTTCTTCAAGGCAAGAGCAACAACCTTTCGTGTCGCTGAACATCTTTACATTCAGAACACGTAGACCTACAGAACAGTAGAACTTTATTCCGGCTATTTTTCTGGGTATTTCCGGGAAAATAGTTCACACTGTAGAAGGCTTGTTAAATGTTGTAATGCACTACCTCTCACAGGTAGTGCATGGAGCCAAAAGGTTTTGGACTTAGGTTGGTGCTCTTCCTTTTAATTGACTCCTTTATGACTCTAGTTGACTTGTTCCCCTGATGGACTTGCTGCCTTGCTGAACGCCCTCATGACTCTGTTTGGGTCGATCCAGTCTGGTGCTGCAGTGATTTGATGGCTTTGTTCGAGGCCCCAAATCGGCCAAAAGCTTGCATGTTTTGCTCTCTGCTTCTCCAACTCCAATCAGGGGCCTGCCGTCAGGAAGTGAACCCATTTTAGTGGAGGTTAAATCCAAGCAGCATGTGCAGCTGAGCTTTGCATAGTCCCCTATGCAAGAGAGGACTCAATTATTTCCAGATGTAAAACAATGGAAATCAGCATCACCCAAAGTCATTATGCACAAGCTACTAATGACTAGATTTCAATGTTACTAACTTTAGATTTACATTTCTTCAAATTATAATCTTAATTTTGTTTAGTACTCTTTGTAGCCAAGTTTAGGAAATGCTTGTAGCATGTATTCCCTTTAGAGCTGGCTACTTTATTTTGATCAAACTCTAATTTCTCTCCTTGTGCCTTCTTGTTACCTGCACTCGTTACAGCCCAGATGAGGATTCATGTCAGAAATTCATTCCTTTTATCGGGGTAAGTATTATCTCTCTCTCTGCCTAAATACACTGATCAGGCATAACATTATGACCAATGACAGGTGACGTTTACCTCTTTATCGTGACACGTGTTAGTCAGTGGGATATATCAGGGAGCGCGTGAACATGTTGTCCTAAAAGTTGATGTTTTAGAAGCAGGAAAGAGCTTGAGGATTTGTGCGAGTTTGACAAAAGGTCAAATTGTGATAGCTAGACGACTGGGTCTCCAAAACTACAGCTCTTGTGGGGTTTTCTTGGTCTGCAGTGGTCAGTGTCTATCAAAAGCAATCCAAAGAAGGAACAGTGGTGAACCAGCAACAGGGTCATGGGCGGCCAAGGCTCACTGATGCACATGGGGAGTGAAGGCTGGCCCGTGTGGTCCAACAGACCGCAAATGAGCTACTGTTGTGGAAAAACTTGATGCTGGTTCTGATTGAAAGGTGTCAAAGATTACACAGTGCATCATATTTTTGTTATGCATGAGGCTGCATAGCTTCTGACCAGTCAGAGGTGTCCTTGCTGACCCCGTCCACCGGTGAAAGCACCAACAATGGCCAATAACAAAAGATGATCACGGAGCAATGGAGGAAGGTCTGGTCTAATGAATCACAGTTTCTCTTGCATCACCGGGTGTGTATGCATCGCTTACCTGGGGAACATCTTTCTGTGGATAGAAGGTAACCCGGCGAAGGCAATGCGATGCTTTGGGCAATGTTTTGCTGGGAAACCTTGGCTTCTCCCATTCACGTGGATGTTACTTGGACAGGTACCACACCTAGCATTGCTGCAGAGGATGCACCCCCTTTCATGGAAATTGCATTCCCATCCTCTTTCAGCAGGATAATGTGCCCTGCCACAGAGAAAAAATTTGATCAGGGATGATTTGAGGAGCACAGAAACGAGTTTAAGGTGTTGACTTGACGTCCAGATTCCCCAGATGTCAATCCAAGTAAGCATCTGTGTGATGTGCAGGACAAATAAGTGTAGGTGTGAGGGATCTGTTGCTAACATCTAGGTGACAGATACCACAGCACACCTCCAGGGGTCTACTGGAGTCCATGCCTCGAGTACTCAGGGCTGTTGTAGCAGCAAATGAGTGACCAGCACAATTTTAACCAGGCAGTCACAGTGTTATGTCTGATTGATGCAAATGCTGCACTTTTCAGTTTATCTGTGGGTTTTTTCTGGCACTTTGAAGTGGTGCTTAAAGTGATAAACCTTTGCTTTTCCATTCTGTTCTTCAGATGGTGAAAGTTGGCATTGTGGAGCAAACAGCTGCAACATCAGGTACACCACTGTTTGGCCACTTTGTGGTTGTTGAATATTAAAAGAGATGTTTTGTCATAGGCTGCATGTTAAACCTTTATATAAGACTTCATTAGACAGCTTTACTGAATGAAGTGAGCAGCATTGCCATATCTACATTCCTGTTGATCCTTATGAGCTTATTAGATGTAAATATATTCTCAAGGCATTAATAATCAATTCCAGAAGGACTTGTTGATTTATACTGTAGCAATTAATCCCGTGAGCCTGATGTTATATCATCTTTGTTATGCTGAGACTTTGAATAAATAAAAAGCTTCATGTTAGTGTTGCAAGTCAACAAGAAGACATTTTTGTGTTTAAAGTCATTTAAATGGAGAGATGGCTAGTTTACTGATTGTAGGTATGATGCAATCTAACAATATTTCAAAAGAAATTGCAAGAAATTGTTATTCCTGATGCTGCTTGCCTCCTTTCACAGCTCTTTTTTGCTTTTTCCTTTCTCAGGAGACTCTGATGATGCAGCACCTCTGGGCTCCTCGCTGCTCTCCTCCACCCCTCCACAGGTATCACCCGCTTTCAAAGAGGCATCGCCCACGCCGCCCTCGTCTCCCTCTGTCAACACCAGCTTTTGTGCTTACAGGTAAAATGTGCTGCCTGCTGGAGGGAAATTACATCAAGTTCTTTTTTACTAATGTCCTTGCGTAATCAAAGCAACGTCTCTGCACAAAGTTTAAAATTAAATGTTTGAGCCACAAGATATTTCATCTTCTGAGACTCTATACAAAGTCTAAGAGCAAAACTGGCACATTGCAAGAAGCTTTATGCAACGCAGTCTCTTTGAGGGGTCCCAGCTTTCAGATTCAAAGCTACTGATGCAAATTCTTTACAAAAATCTGTAACGTTTTACGACTTGTACGTGTATTCCACAGCTGTATATTTGTCTTTCATTTGTTTCATTTAAGCACATCTTTTCTTTAAAGTCTGAGGTTTCACATATCAGGATATAAAAATCTGGTTTTTTGCAGCTTCTAAAATGTAGAAATATTTGAGTGTGTCATTGTTTATTTAACAAAGAATAAAAAGAGAGAGGCAGTGAGAATAAACTAGAGAGATTAATTATTTTAAAAATGAATACCATGTTCGTGTACTTATATAGTGCTGTATTTATGTACATTTTCCTAAAGAAAATGACTGCGTGAATTCCTTCTATACGATACTGCTCAATTCTCTATCTTATCTCATATTGTTTTTATGTAATTTATGCAATAAAGTTTAAAATTAAAGCCTTTTCACAGTATCAACATTGCTGTTTTCCTGCAGCTCTGGTGGTCAGGTGGAGCTCATGGGGCTTCAGGTGGACTACTGGGTGGCTCCGACAGAAAGGAAGAAAGATGTGGAGAAGCGAGACTCCTCCTCCAAAAACACTCTCAAGTGCAATTTCCGCTCGCTGCAGGTCAGCCGGCTGCCACTGGGGGGCGCAGAGCCAAGCTCCCAGCCCACCATGTCTATGACTGTGGTGACCAAGGAGAAGAATAAGAAGGGTATGTTGTATGACTGTGTTGTCACGGTGCGCTGAGGCAGTCGTGGGAAGCCCAAAGGCAGGGGTGTCAAACTCATTTTGCATCGTTTGCTGCAAACAGCCCACTTTGATCTTACAGTAAGGGGGCCAGTCCTGTGAAACTCCGCCTTTCTGTCAGTATAAAGAAGTTTAACTACATAATATCTTAGTATAAAAAAAGGACAATTTCAAACATAAATCTCAGGTTTTCTACATGAAAAAGAAAAACCTGCTGTGGCAAAGAAAGAAATCTGTGAGTGTGACTCCTCGGGCTTAAACTGAGAAATAAATGTGCAAAATCACAGAAAATAGGAGCTCTTTGTTCAGACCGCCTTGTAACTATAAAACAGAAATATTTTGTTAATTCACAGAAAATGTCATATTCTTTTATGTAGTCCCTTTGTATGAAAACGAATTTCTGTAGTTGATAGAACACATTTTTTGTTTTTTTGTTTTTACTATAATTTAATTGTTTATCTATTGATTAATTACTTTGGTGTAATATGAAAAGCCATGGGAGAGGTCTTAATCAGGTTGAAAATACATTTAAAAGTCCAAAATTTATGCCCTTCTTCACTCATTCCAGAGCCATCTAGTGGGCCGAATTAGAGGCTTCACTGGGCCAATTCTGGCCCCTGGGCCTCATGCTTGACACCCCTACCCTAAGGGTAGACTTTGGTTGTGAATGAACCCTGAAAAAGTCAATAAACTCTAAAAGAAAACAGTGTAAAATGATTAAATCCAGTCTTGCAAAAATGTTTTCACATACGACTCCTGAGAGACCAGAAAGATTCTGAGATCACAGTGTGCATCTCTGTTGT